TCTTTTCCTCATTCATCACTATTGTGAGGGATTGCCCCTTTTCAAGCCCAATTAATGTGCTGTTCCACCTCCCAAACGTTGAATTCCCAATCTCGCTCACTAAATAATATTACAGATATAGCTATGGGTACAGCATAGAATGCCTCATTCTTCAGGTTTCTATTCCAGTCATCAGTCTTATCGTCCCTATTGGAATACTACAGTACGTTTTCAGAACACATAGTAGCACACAGAGAGGTACATGCTTGATTGTATATAAATGAAAGATCATATCTTCTTGGGACTGAAAATGGGAGCAAAAAATAATTCTCTGTACCACTGGCATGATAAGAGAGCTGAATCCAGGAATCCGGTCCAAGTGGGATGCTGCCTAGCTTAAAAGGATCACTCAGTGTGAAGGAACCTTGGTTTTTATTTTCCATTGTTGAAGGGCAATATGGCATAACTCAGTAGGAAAAAGCACAGTCAACAAACTTTCACAGCCGTTATAGCTGAGACATTCAAGGGTGAAAAGATAGGCTTTCGGAGCGATAAGTTGTCAAGTTTAATAAGCTTCAACTGGGACACAGTGCATGGGCCAATCAACTAACTATCGCTTTTGAAGGTCCAGACCCCCCGAGGTCATGATGAAAAATCGGCTTGATGACTGGGAGCGAATAACCCTATCAAGCAGAGCCGAAGCCTTATGTTGATAGTATGGAGAGATTAGAGACTAGGAGGCGGTTATAAAAATTATTATAGTATAAAGTGTTGTCATATTTGGTCAACTAGTATTCCCGTGACTACTACCATTACTTACACAACGATTACTGTAGTTGTATTTGTTATCAGATCTCGGAAACCTTGCATGCGCTCTGGTTGGATCGCACGGTTGTATAGCATCGCTGTCATTAATTATGTGTAACGAGCCGTACAGGACTTTTGTTATGGGTCCTCTGATAAGACGTGAGTTCTTCAGTAGGCAGTTTTTGATGTACATCAAAACAAAGGGGAGATAGGCGTATGTAAGTATAGTAAATGTATTGTTGAAACTTGGAACTGTTTCTATATGCGCTATCAGTATGATCACNATTAATTATGTGTAACGAGCCGTACAGGACTTTTGTTATGGGTCCTCTGATAAGACGTGAGTTCTTCAGTAGGCAGTTTTTGATATATGTACATAAAAACAAAGGGGAGATAGGCGTATGTAAGTATAGTAAATGTATTGTTGAAACTTGGAACTGTTTCTATATGCGCTATCAGTATGATCACAAAGATTTCTCTAATGTCATCTGTACGTAAAAGAATTGATCAAAAAACTCTGAAATACAATAGGATCGCTGGTATTATGGGACCATCTCTTTGTTGTTTTACACACATTTCAGTCCCGTTGCAAAACCTTAGGTAATTAAAATAACTTCCTCATAATTTTTCGATCTACATTTGGATTGTAGTTTGATTCACTGCACACCATGTGCTATATAACACTGCAGCTATAGAAAGCTGGGTGTGGTAACTTCTCCCCGAAAATCGCGTCGCGCTCTCACCATTCGCGCGTTATGAAGAGAGGGGTTTTGATTTATAGGAAATGATACGGTAGCCGGGATCCACTGCCCCCTTGCTAGACAGTAATGATGATGGAGGGAAAAGCAGTATGTTATTGTATAAAAAAATGTAAAATAAAACGAGGTTACGACGTGCGATATACTAGTTGACGACTGCTTGAAGATTCATGAAACTCGTCCAATCGTAGAAATTTGGTGATGAAATTCACTAATAGTTAATACAATTAATTGTAAAACAAAGCCCTTCATGTCAAGTACATTTCCTCACGCTTATGAGAACTAAAATCCTCGCTTATAAAGTTCCTCCATAGATGTAATACATATTTCAGTGTGGAAATTGAGGAGACGTCGTGAAGCTTCACGTGAAGTTACGGAATTCACTCGTTCTACTCAACATCAAGCGTCATAGGACTATTCGCCATCGACGCCGAGCTACTCACAGCTTTCTTTATTTGCTAATAATGCATGTTTGATGTACATGTAAAATGTATAAATTCACATTAAGTAAATGTTAGCAATCTGATGACTTGTATTGAAACTCCTCACGTCTATGTGAATCGAAAGCAAGGGTCGATTGCGTTTACTAGGATCGAAAATTTCGAAGCTATTCTTATGTTGAACATTGACAAGTGATTTGCTGACCAATGAAGTGAGTTTTTAATTCCAAAGGGTTTCATTGTCATAGTAAACAGATTGGCTTCAATTTTCATGGTGAAGCCGTGGACTACTGCAAATCTTATTCGGTCCATCTCAACAGAAAGGTACTGAAGCGATGCTGCGTGCGCGAGGAGCCCTAATGGGGTTACGCTCGTATCGCGCGTCCCCCGGGAAAAATATCCTTCTTAGATGGTGACCGGTACATCTGCAATTTGAAGGCACAGTTCACGATTAAAATGGTTTTTGGGTCTCTATCCCTAGGAATACCCAGTGGCCCTGAGGGGTAACGGGAAGGACGGTGTCTGGTCCCAAAACTCAACTGCTAGAAATAGCGGGAGCCCGTTACCGGATCGCCCGGACTTTTCGCCCCTCCATTGATGTCACGTGGACGAAGGTCGAGGCGATACATATTACAATATTCGCTATAGGACCCACACACCACCAGTTGATCGCCGACTAATGAGGCGAGGGCGAGGTTTCTGCCATTTATTTATTCTTTGTGACTCTTTTCTGCTGCGATCCCTTACTTAATTTTCTAACACAGGAGGCTGATAGGGTAGGCTGTTTTTGCTGTTACGCTGTTACTAGGGCTTTTTCATCAATGCTTATGAGTGAATGAATTTTCGCTTACCACAGTCAGCTATTCGCACCAGGACCCACACGTACGCGATGGCACACATAGGGAACACCGATTTACGCAGTTTCTTCGCCTTCATCGCACTATTTTCCCTCTTATCTCCCATTTTTCGTCATAAACTGGATTATCCAAAATTCTTGTGAACTGTGTATTTGAAGTCAACACATTTTTGTGAGCGAATTTCAAGTAGGCTATTTCATAGATCATCCGTTCATTACTTTAAAAGAGAACATTGCCCGAAGAACGTCATCACAGAAGCCTGAGCGGCAGGTGCTTTCTGAAGTTCGGCTGAAATAATCATTTCACTCATTCACTGATCATTACCTAGCCAGCTTTGTGGTTAATGTGGATTCGAGTTAGTCTGGCCTATGATCGAATGTGACGACTTCGACCTCGAGATCGGGATCTACTTGACTATCATGCATTCCTTTTCCATAATGGCACTTATTATGAACTCATTTGCTCTATACTGTGTTGTTCGCAAATCAACGAAACCGATGGGCGTCTACAAATGGTATATGCTAGCTTATCAAATGGCTTCCACTGCATTCGACTTTGTTTATACTGGTCTAACCCTACCAGTGATCTTTTTTCCCATACCTATGGGTTATCCGGGTGCATGGATTGCTCAGTGGCTGTCTATCAGTACCCATGCCTCTATTATTATAGCTATTCTGACGGGTTCCCTCCTAGTTGCTAGTATTCTTAATCTTTTCAATTATCGACGTCATTTGGTTACTCCTACTCATCATTTTTTGAGGTTCAGAGAAGACGGTGAGTACCATCTGTGTTGTGTCCTTTACCACCACCTTCATCCTTAGCTTTCACTAGTTCTTCTCCTTGTTGTTACAAAGTCGAATTTTATCGTGATCGAGGGCGGTCCTCCAAATAATAAATGATATGAAATTCCCAACGACGGAATTTCCGAGGATGATTCAGTCAAATAAGGCGGTCACCAGATCGTGTTTATAGGAGAGGGAAGCTCAGCATAACAGCGCATTGCAACTGGTATTCAATATCCGCTGACGCTTATGCCCATCTTAGCTTTATTACTAATTGGATTCACTTTCGTACCTCACTGGCACTGATTGGAACCCCTGACCCCTTGAGAATTGAAAGCAATTTTTAATTGGCCAAGAAATTTACTGGACTATTTGTGAGCAACTGAAATTCGTCTAATTTAAGGCCATATCCACACAAGTATTGCGATAACATTGGTCTATTTTTTTACATGTTTAAGCTCTATCATTGATATATTACCAGACCAAACGGAAGCCAGGAAATGGGCCATGCAGGTATTTAAACGGTTCGAACGTCAGAAGAAAAAGACTTTTACAACAAAATTACCTGATTCCAGGAATATTCATGTGCCAAATCTGCGATGTCTGTACCTCAACTTACAGTTTTTACTTTCACTAAAGTGAAGCGCTGTGTGATGACTATTGTGGCCCTAGTCATTCTTACTTTCATTCTCGGTGCAACGTCTATACTGCTTTCTTTTTATTTTATTCAAAAAAGAGGAAATCTGTCACAAAAAACAAGACAAATGCAGAGGCGTTTTCTAATCTATCTTTGTATACAGGTACTTCATTTATTTATTCAGTTACACCTCAAGGGTGTGCCCCATCAATCACAGGAGAAAAAGTTAGAAGTTAAAGTTTCACTTTGGCAAGGGGAAAGAAATAAGGAAAATGCATCACAACAAAACGAGATTCAAAGGTTAGAACTAGACCAGCGTTGAGATAAGCAGAAAGAGTAGCAAGTTGGGACATCAACGGAAAAAGATAGAGGCTGGTGCATTTCAGTGGGAGAACGATAATATTGTTCTCCCCTGTCAGGCAGATAAGCGGTCCCTCGGCAACATCATGGTCCTTTATCTTTATCAATAGAATTCACCAGGGAAGTGCGATTAGCCCTCACAAAGCCTATGCTTTCAGTATGACTGTCGCAATATGCAGTAAAATTAGTTAAAGGCAAATCCCAACTGTACAGCTTGCGATTGAGTCTCACGATAAGCCATCAAACTGATTGTTGCCTCATCTTTTCTATGGTTGGCGGTATGTCCCTATTACTCTCTACGTAGATCTTCTAACTCCACCAACATTCCTTTCTACTCTTCCTTTGCAGCAACCTTGTCTCTTCTAAGCCCTTCAGTTTCTTGGAGATCATAGCATTGGGATGAGGATTCTCTGCCTTGAAATCTAGAAAAATTGGTTTTCGGTCACACCGTGCTTCTACCTTGCTTGGTACCCTTCACTAGCGTTAAGCCTATATTGTATCTTTCCATTAGAGGGTAACAGTGCATCTACCTAGGCTTAACCGTACAGATAAACAGTTGGAATATAAAGTTGAAAAGATCCTGGGCGCAATCTCTTTCCACAGATTGGGTTTTACTCACCTTATCGGACTACTGGTCAGAGGTGGGGTATCACCATGTGACTGACACCTGTAGGTATGATCCAGATCGGACCTCTCGATATCCGCCTAGGCCATTTATCCTTTTTTATTGAACGCTTTCATTTCTAAGCTGTTTAGATAGCAGTTCCACTCGTCAGCATGTTCGTACCTATATCAATATTAACGTACATATTGGGAAAACCGAATGGGGCACGGAAAAGTAAGTTTACTCTCTTTCATTTACCCTTCAAAAACTGACAGTTGAGTACAATAGTTAATATTCATGTCTGAAGACATGAGTCAAATGATTGCAAAGACAAGATGAGACACCATAAGTCATATATCAGGTCTTGGCAACATCTCATGCGCTTTGATTGGATCTCATGGTTGTGTAGCAGCGCTATCGTTGGTCATGTGTAACGAGCCGTACAGGAACTTTGCATTGGGTCCTCTGATAAGACGTGAGTTCCTCAGTGAGGTACTTTTTCATGGAAAACTGAGCCTTGAACTCTTTCGGCTTTGATTCATTCTTCAGTATTCGGATGCATCTATAAGTAGAAGTTCCGATTAGGATAATAACAGCGTTTGATTGTGTATACATATGTCATATACAAAGAATAGCGAAAGCGAGCGAATAAACAAAATGATTTTTGAGCTCCAAGTTATAGTTTTGAATAGGGGACATCGTAGGGATGGAAGGTGTCGCGGCCAGTGCTCCGAGTGATGGACGCATCGGCGAAATGAGCCCCTGGACCACGGCACAATGTGGTCAATATGGTACTCTCTGGGTGAGGGGATTGGGTGGGTTGGGTGAATGAAGTGTAGTGGCACCTAAATGCAATGGATTCTGCTACGCGTTGGAAGGAAAGGTCTTTGCCCCCTTACGACCTCCTCCCTAACTACAGGAAAAAGACAGGGTTAAAAGTCCAACGACAGATATTATACAATGTATGGAATGCATATACTTGCGATATTACGCATACAAGACAAACACAACTCATCGCCACAAACTTATGTGAACGCCCAATACAACATGCGAACGACAAGTGCGATATGTATGCGACGAAGATATGAGGTGAGACGTGAAATGAGACAAGAGGGATAGATAGAGATGGTAGGTAAAACAGGCGGTCTTAATGAAATGGATTTGGAATCCGATCCACCGTTTTTCTATTGGCACTGACGACAACGTTGGTTCATACTGACGACTGAAATCCAAGGAGGCAGCTTCACCTCAACCTGTCGTTCTCATCGTCGAGAATGACAAGTTGAAGCGGGG